AGTGTCTCATTTGCAGAACTACAAGGAAAGACAAGGTCAGTTTAAGGAAACCAAAAAGAAGAATAAGAACATAAAGTAATCTAGAACTATGAAAGAATCAACACATACCAAATTGATGGGCTGACATTCGATATTATAGTTGTTTTTGAGTTCCCACCCAGAGAATCCTGCATCCCAAAGTCATAGACCAATTATGTATGAAGATGCACTAAAATGAACAAGTATGCATAGTGTTACAAAATGACGTAAAATATCTTAGGTTCCAGAGCATTTGGCATCTAACCTGAAGAAGAAATGTAAGCCTTGAATCTCTATAGGGAACATGTCTATGTTTCCCATGTGCTAAGTCGACCAAAGACATTATCACCAAGCTAAAACCACAAAGTAATATAGGTTAACCAACTGAAACCAAACTAAAGTCTGCCTAGCAATAAAGGCATATACGACTAATTCAACCATGTGCAAACAAACACCATGTTTTATGTATTTCTGGAAATTACACTAATCACCAAGTTGGCATTTGAATTTGGCCTTGTGAAAGCAGAAAACGGAAGGAAATATTTAAAAGTATAATAGAAAACCAAACAGGTCCTTGAAATAATTACCCAAGAGTTGATAATGATTTGTTGATATTTGCTGCTTCTTTCAAACGATCTCCCTCTGCACCAGAGCTTTTCTGCCTAAATGAATAAGCAAGTCAGCCAGCAGATAAGCCTTGAATAAAATATTAAACAAAAAAAAGAATAAATTATGAAGATGGTAGTTACCTTTCTGAGCCAGCTAGATCTACTAAGTTCAACCTAGCGAATCTAAAATGGGTCATGGAATCCTTTTCCCAACGGCTTTCTATGATACATGTGAAAACACTGTGCGATCGGCTGCTCTCACTGTTCATGTGCGTTGCTGCCATTTTTCTGTTTGAAGCACCCTAAGAAAACAAATATATAGCATCATACTCACACCCGAATGTGTAGTTAGTGATTCATTAGATAACATTTATCATAAAGTCCCACCTGTAACAGGAGCTTGACAACATCATTAACATTCCTCGCATTGCATTCTGTAAGGTTTTCAACATATACCCCTTTCTTCAAGTCCTCCCTGAGCTACAATATGGAAGATGCTTTTACTTATTGCTCAACAAAACAATGCTAAATGGCAATTGCAACATGAACATTTGAAAAGATGTTAATTACTTGTAGATTAGTTGATGTAGGTTCCAAGAGATCTGTTATCTGCTCATTGTAAATCTCGAGAAAGGAACATTTGCAGCTGTACTTCAGCTGTTCCTCCCGCCTGCTTTCCTCTTCCTGCATGAATAAATTATAGTAAGACATCAAACCCAAATAAAAGATAAATTTTAGCTATAGATTAAGATATCAATAAACAGCGTACCAGTCTGATCCTTTTAAACAAATACTCAAAAATGCGTGGAGTAAGCCCACAATCTTCATTGAGCTGCCCTTCAACCTCATATATTTCACCCATCATTGTGTATGTTTTGCCACTACCCGTCTGCAAACAAGAAACTTAGAGTGTAACTTATCCAGCAAAAATAAATAAACCACACCATGCACCGAACTATTAACTTCTCCGAAGAAATACCTGACCGTAAGCAAACATGCAGCTATTATAACCAGACAAGCAATTCTCCACCATGGGCAACCCAGCAACCCTGAACAGCTTTTCCTATGACAAACTCAATCAACACACTCAATGAGTTTCCAATGGATTGAAGCCAAATAATAAAACATCAAGGTCCATTTTTTGACATAGCATTACTTTAAAGATAGCAGTAAAAACTAAAACAGAAAAATTTTAGGTATTATTTTACATAACCCTAGCTACCTGTGATATTGTCTCGCATGCAATGTGATCGAATGTGAATCTGGTTTCCGGATGACCATGCCAAACCAGAGTTTTCGCGCTTTCCTGCTTCAAACACCGGCCTTGCCCTTGCAAAGCTCTCTCCATACTACTCAATGGCCGAATTCGAATCAGCACCTGAACTCAAAACCAATCAAACCAATCAAACTCCAGAAAACTTTGGCACCAATTACCAAACCCAAACCAATCTCCGAACCTGCACATTGTGATCGGTCCAGAACGAAGAGTCCTCCGCTAGCTCAAAATGCGGAACTTGAGCTAAAACTGCGGAATTCACCACAGAAACCTCCCGGGAGATTCTAGAACAACTCCCTGCTCTGCCTCCATTGTACTGCAGAGCTTTGCTTCCGGTACAACCTCCCATTGCTCCACCAATCGAAGCTCTACCGGTCCTCGCCGGGGTGCTTTGAGCCGAGTTTGGCTCCGAGTGCGCCTTCCCTCCGCGACCTGACGAAACCCTGGGTGTTCCAAAGCTGAGACCTCCGCCATGTCCAGCTTTCTCCTGAGCTTCGATCTTCCTATCCGACGATAACGAATACCGACCGGATCGAATCGCCTCGAACTTCGGTTGCGAATCGAAATCAAACTCATGGAGTTCCTTCTGCAGCTGGGCTGGATCTGCAATGCTGTTAAGAGGCGTTCTTGGAGGCGGAAAGTGGATTGGATTTGACGCGGTTTCGAATTCGTTCTCGTTCGGTTCGGATTGCGAGTTCCTCGCGACGTTTCGGGCTGGGAATCGAACAGTTGAGCTCTCCTTCGACATGCTGAGGGAGCTCGGAGCTTCAGTGAAACAAGTTGGATTGTTGTGTTTGTTTCCGTATTAGAAACGGAGTTTTGAATCCATGATTCGACGGAGAAGACGCAGAATACGGTGACGTTTTGGGGGGGTTTTGGGTTTGCTTTTGGCCGTTGGGGTGGGAAGGAGAGAAGTGGGTTGAGATTTGAGTGGAAAGTGTCAGAGTGGTGGGAATTTGAAATTGGTAAAGCTCAGTGATTACCCCGCCCGTTTGAATTGTTAACGGGACGCTCCATCTCTTTTTGTCTTTTTCAATTGAACCCAAATATATATATACACACACATACACAGGCCGCTTTTGTAAAGAAATTCTCATTTTTTTCCAATTCACATCAAACTATAATGATCTGAACAGTCTATTTTATAAATCTCGATTTATATATCATCCTTACAAAAATTCAATTCAATCCGAAATCATTTGTTTATTTAATTATCAAGATAAAATTTCATTGTTTCTTATATAACAAAGTATTCGTTAATTTCTTTGAACTCAATTAGATATCTTAAACATTTCCGATTTGGCTAATATTTTGCAAGGATGATATATGAGATGTAACTTGAAAAATAGACGGTTCAGATCGTTAAAGTTCAATGTAGTGTGGACCCTACAACTAATCCCCATTTTTATAAAAAAAAAATGGGTATCCATTCCCTTAAAATTTTCTTATATATATCTTTTTAAATAAACCAAATATTCTAATCTAATTTATATTGTCACAAAAGTTATTCAAACTTGGTTGGAAGAAGAAGACATTATTCTAGCCAACTTAGTTATAGTTATGCATGTTGAATTATATTTTTTTGAATTATAAGTCAATTATTACCCTAATTTCTTTTTTTTTTTTTTTTTACCAACGAGGATGGAGGATTCGAATTTGAAATCTCTCTTAGCATTAGGAAAATAAATACCCATAATATACTAAGAGCTGAGAGAAACATGGTTCAGTATGCCTAACCAATTGGCTAATAAAATGAAGTCACATTGTTTTTTTAAATAGAATAATTAAATAACAAAGTTACAATGACAACTTATCGAATTGCTCATTCGTATTAAATGATCGAATCACCTAGTTGGTTAGACGGTTTAACCCAAGTTTTGTTGTAAGAACTAATAGGCATAACCCAACTTGAACGTTCACTTGACTTGTAAATTAGTCGTGCGTTATCTTGTAACCTATAATTAATTTAAGGAAAATCATGGAAGTTTGTAACAAAAAAAGTGTGCCCAAATATGATGGTCCGTAGAAAAAGGATGTTGAGACTTGATTTGAACATAATGATGATGGGGATTCAGCTATGGCCAAAACGATGATTAAAGAGAAAAGAGTTTAGGGTGGGAATTTGAATTCAAACAGCAACAACGTCTGATGATCAAAACTCAAAAGAGAAAGTGGATTAGTGGAGGAGCGGCCTGAAATGGCACCTTAATCCTTAGAATATATATATATATATATATATATATGTTGGATTTTGTGTAATTAGTATTGCAATTTTATAATTACATACTCATTTTGTTGTCTCGATGAGGTTTAAGGCTACTCAAATGTGAGAAATTCCTTTGGAAATGTACAAGAGACATGCTAAAGTGACTTTTTCAAAAAGTAGGGTTGTTTTTAGGCTCTCTACCACCTTATGTTTTTAACATAATATTTTATAATATTAGCTCAGCTCTTAGCTCATGAAGAATCTCACTCAGCTCTTAGTATAAATCCTCTTAGCATATTTTATAAATCCTCTTACTCTTAGCATCTCTCATTCTCAATGTTCAGTTCTGCACTAAAGACTAAACAAAGGCAATTCATTTTTCTTTTGTTTTCGAAAAGCTAGAATTTGACGTTAAATTAGTTGTTTTACATCTTATCCTTCACCATCAAATGACAAAGTAATCCAACTTCATTCAAGCATATGACTACTAGGGTTGTGAATTTGAGTTGTACTCAAGAGTATCTTGCGTTGAAAAATGAATGTCTTGCTTCGGTGCTTAAAAGATTTTGAAACTCATTACGTGTCACATAGAAGAAAGTTTCAAAGTCGTTTCTGCATGCATGTGAACCAAATACGAGTCCGTGTGAGCCTCTTCTTTTGTCAGAGTAAACAATTAATTTATAAGAAAAATGATATTCGAGCTTAAGATGTCTTTAAATATTTTCACCAAAGATTTCTTATATCAACTTACAAAATGTCGTACTTTGTAATTAACAAATAGAATTACAAACTACTACTAGGTTGGAATTGGAGACTAACTTTTGTCACAAAATTTAGAGATTGCATGGAGAACATTGTCGACAAACCCTCAAAAGGGTCATGAGCTGCATCATGCATGCAAATGAAGATAGATAAGAAGAGGAAATGTTCACATATCTCAAAGATAATTAAGCAAAAGATTAACACTAACACCATCACAAATTCAGCATCCTAAACTCATGCAAAAATGACTAACAACGCCCCCAAAATCACAAAGAATGCTTGGAATAGTATATTGGGAGAACAGTCCCGTCCTACCGCTGAAAAACTGCCTGCACCTGAAAAATCAAGCCAAAATTAGCCGCAAGAAGAAAAATTCATGCAACTAATTAATTATTAACTAAATAAGCGATCCAAATCCAGAGTCTAATAATATAAACATATCGAGATTTATAAAAGTTGATATCACATTGTCTAGTGAAATTAGAGGAAGTTGAGCAGAGGCAGAGAGACCCTTCAGTCTCGGTATCAAACCCACAAGTCCCACCGGACTGCGCACACCTCTCACACCCGGTATCCGGCACCGCGAAGCTCAGCTTAATCCCGTAAACCCAATCCGGCGGTCCTAACCCTTTCAATCCGTCCGTATTCGTCACGCTAGTATAATGCGTGCAGTCCAATATATTCATGCTCATGAACTTCACCGAATCGTACCCCGTAAAACAACACGGCGGAGAAGTAGTCGTAGTAGCAGGAGGAGGAGGAGTACCGTTGGTTAGAAATCCTCCGGGACTGGGGGTAGTACCGTTGCTTAAAAATCCTCCGGGACTGGGGGTAGTACCGTTGCTTAAAAATCCTCCGGGACTGGGGGTAGGAGTGGCCAATCCGGAACCGGTACGGAAAATCCGAAAAGCGTTGCAGGAGTCGTAGAGCTCGTCACAGGAGTGGCCGGAGAAGTTGAAGCAGAGGTACTTGTAGTGGTTGAGGACAGGGGAGTCGACGGAGCAGTTGAGGAGGGCGAAGACGGTGTCGGAGGTCGGCGGGATAATGGCGGACTGGATTGGGGTCATGAGGAAGTCGTGGTGGGGCTGGAGGATGGAGCAGGTGGACATGGCGGGGTCGTAGACGACCATGGTTTTCTTGTCGTAGTTTATGGACTGGACTTTGTAGTTTCCGGATGGGGTGGCGAAGAAGAGGTCGGTGGAGCAGTTGAACATGTGGCGGAACTGGGGCGCGCCACAGCCGTCATCGAGGGCGAAAGGGTAGTGTATGGGGATGGGGCCGCAGGAGGTGCGGCATTGGGAGAGAGTGGGGGTGGGGAGGAGGTGGAGGTGGAGAGATAGGAGGAGGAGGTTGACGGTGGTGATCAGTGGTTTTGACTGAGACCACCACATGTTTGTGTGTGAGAACTGAAAAATTAGTTACTGTGGCAGTGTAAGAAGGCCTAATGTGTAAAGAGATTGATAAACTGGGCGGAATTTACTCCATAATTTAGGACACCTTTTGGATCTTTAGACAGGCTGTGATGGGATCCACAAGTTGAAAAACAGGGAAGAAATCAGTGGCTCCAGTGATATATCAGTCTTGGGATTCCCCGAGGTGTTGTGATTTTTAATGCAAAATGTTACCTTTATTATCTATTTATGCGTAATGTAGAAAAAACTAAATTTTTTAAATTAAATTTACAAACGAAATAGATTAAATTTTTTAAACTAAATTTACAAACTAAATAATATGATTGTTGATGATTAAATTATTATTTAAGCATTTATTAACATTCTTATTTCTTATTGATGACATATTATTTGGTTTGCAAATTTGATTTAAAATTTTAGTCTCTATAACACTATCCTCTATTTATACCATCATTTAAACTATATTTCTAAGGGACAAGGATTGTCCGCCTTCCGTGCCCTCCTGTTTTGTGTGGTCACGGTTAAGCCACGTCAACATTTTATATAGTTTTTTTTATAGAGATAATAAAACAATAATGAATAGTAATATAAAATGTTAACATGGTTTAACCGTGACCACACAAACAGAAGGGCACAGGAGGGCACCAGAAGTAGGAGGGCAGACAATCCTTGTCCATTTCTAAGATACAGTTTATAACTAAGTACACCAACATAATGATTGGTTATATTGAAAGGTTGAGTTTGGCCCTTGATTCTTTAGATAGATCAATATGTCAGTCAGGTAAATCAAGTGTCATTGTATAAATAGTTGGATACATTCAACAATCTAAAGTATTACAATGGGATAAAATAATCAATTAAAAGAGATCTCTAATTCTAATTAATAATTCATTAGGCCCTTTAGGAACAGCTTTCAAATTTATAGTTTTTATTCATTTTACCATTTAATAACTCATAATTAGGTTTCTAACTAAATATTTGCAACTCGCCAATTTAAAACAGACTTCTCAAGTATTTCGATATTATTTAACGCACTCTCTGAAAATAACAGAACTATAGTCCAGTAGTGCGAAGGTAATAATGTCTTATGATCTGGATATCCCTACGAAGACGTCGGTAGCCCACCTCTGCAAATGGAGGGATAATATAAGGGGGGACCTTAATCTCCTAAAACCACTCAAAAGGAATGGGCGTAGTCTGCCTGCTCTTTCATAACAGAGTTGTTATTCCCAACTTGAAAAAAAAAATTCAACCACTTGTTATGACTTATGACACTTATGCATCTAGCTGTGTTTCTGGTACAATGAAAATCTTTTAGGTTAAGGCGCAACGTGTAGGGTGTTATAAGAACTATTCAAACTAATGAAGTTGAATTTCATCTATAAAACCAATTGATAATATAAAAAGTAACCCCACTACTCATAAGCTTATGCAAGATCCATTTCTCTCATTAATGTGAGATTCATTCATAGCACAAACCGACAAATCCAATCCGTATGAATGATTGGTTCAATTTTAATTTTAACACTTGAAACATGTAATCTTGAGCCAAATCGAATAAAAATGTAATTTGATTGGTTTTCGTATGCAATATCTATTTTATCATCAGTGAGAGATTCATTCATAACACAAAACGACAAATCAAATCCATATGAATGATTTGGTTTAATTTTAATGTTAACACTACAAACGTGTAATCTTGAGCCAAATCAAATAAAAATGTAATTTGATTGGTTTTGTTTGATTGAAACCACCTTAACTGAATCGAATGCCTAGGGGTTTTAGAATGTTGAAAATTTTAAATCCACTTGAGCCTCAAATAAGCAACGCCTCAAATAAAACAAAAAGCAGAAATGCGGTGAAGGTGGATCGAACACCTGACCTTCAGATCTTCAGTCTGACGCTCTCCCAACTGAGCTATCCCCGCTTCATGCTACTTCGATATAAAGTTACTTATCAAAAGTCGTCACAATCATTTAATCAAATCTCCATTTTAACTTGGCTCTGAGCTTGGCCCGGCTAATGCACTTTTACTCCTTACCGCAATGACACTCACCCAACCCGCTTGAAAAATGGTTTGGATGGATTGGTTTCCACATTTTCTTGGTGAAAATGAGATTGAACTATTTTAGCTCAAGGTTGATCAAACGGAATAACGTTCAAACCCAACCAACCTAATCGATGCCCACCTCTAAACTTGATATAAAAAATCCATAGTTATTAAATAAAATTCTTAACAAATAATCGATCCACGCATGATATATTGATCATATACTGCAGTACTTAATTACACAAAGGGTAGCATTCATGGACACTAGTCATAAACAAAAGACACATAACTGCTTCATTCTTTCATATTTCTCCACAATGTTCAACACTATATCAAACATCTGTGAAGCGAAGGTACTCCTTCTTGGATGCGAGGTCCATGGTCTTGTAGCCCTGAGGGAACATCTTCTTGGCCTTGTCCTGAGACACCAAGGGTGAAATGATCATGGGATCCCCCGACTTCCAGTTCGCCGAGGTTGCAACCTTGTGCTTGTTCGCCTTCTGCAGCGACTCCAACACCGTCACCACCTCATCCATGTTTCGCCCGGTGCTCGCCGGTACAGAAAACTTAGCTTCACCTATAACCAAACACGTTAATCATTTCCATAATTTAGACCTAATCCACATATTCCAAACTCCTTAATAATAAAAGAAAAACACATATCAGTACGCCTTAAATCATAAAGTTAAGTTGCTTAGTGTAAATAATATCATTTTAAAAAATTAAAAAGTACCTTCGTATCAGGGCCCACAATATGAAGAGAGTGAGAGGGAACTTGGTTTCTCGAAGAGTCCTTCACATCCGACTCAATCATGTTAAGAGTATCTCTAATAGAGATGTCAAAATGTCCACATAAGTTATAACAGTAAAAAAAGACAGCCACTAATTGTTTTCAACCGAAATGTCAAATCCTATGTGGCATGACATGGAATGACACCAAAAGGGGGCTGCTGTCAAATTTGATTGCAGCTTCAAATATTTTTTAATTAATTATTAAATGTTTTTTAATTAATTTAATCATTTATTATAATAAATGTTGATTGTTGAAATGAACGTGCAGTCTGTTCATATCCTGCCTCTTTCTTTCTTTTTTTTAATTAATGATAGAGTTGCGAATAGAGATTAGAGAACGAAGGCCTCCTGGGATTAGCTCCCGACGCTCGGGAGAGGCAAAATAGAGGATATGAGATTTGGAAAAAAAAAAAAATGAAATGAAAAAAGATTAATTAATTGGTAAAGAAAATTGGTGAATGTTTATGGAACATGTGTGTACGGAATAGATGAGAAACCCTGTGAGATTCTGAAGACAATTCATCTCTGATCACATGAATAAAAAAGATAGATCTTCTTTTGATCTGAGAGAGAGAGCTCAGTGTTCAAACTGACGAGATTTTGTTGTCTGGAAGCAAGAAAAAAGTCATTCGTGGTGCTGGGTTCAACAAAGAACTTCATACAATGAACATGCCTCGAATTTTTTCCGACCCATATTCTGATTCAGCGTCTGGAAGCAAGAAAAAAGTTATTCGTTCAACAAAGATGAGGATCATGTCCTTATTAGTGTTCAACCAGAAAAAAGAAGTTATTTGTTGGGTTTCAATTATCATGAATGATTTATACGTGTAAAATATAAAATATAAAACAAAAATTAAGAACACAAAATAATGTAATAAAACAATAGTTTAATTTAACATATCAGGTAAAGAGCGAAACATTAAAATATGTCAAAGTACCAAAATCGGGTAATCCACCTTGCACGCGGACTACATAACACAACATATTTGAAAGTGTACATCTCATGCATATAGCGAATTCAACGTTCTTTCTTGTCAGCACACAATACTAAAAACAAGTACTGAAATCACTAATCCCAATTATCGTGTTAAGTAAAAATATAAGTCAGAACATACGTTGTAGCTTGTAGGTTTCGATGTCCTTAATCCACTCAAGATGCGAAGGCAAATCGTCGCATGATAGACCACAAGCTTCACTCCCTTTTCTGGAAACTTCCAGGAGTACTCGGCCATCTTCCCGAGCTCGGTCGTGCAAACGGCGTGAAATCACCTACACATACATACATACGTGCATACATAAGCAAACCAAATAATTGCGACATCTTCAACCAAATTAAGAAGAAACATTCCATGATTAATTAAGGCACTAATTTGTAATTACCAGGGGTGAGAGAAAATGATGGCCCAGCTGTCACCGAACTGGTCGTAGAGCTTGATCTTTCCATGCGTGCTTTCAGCTTCAAGGTTTGGGATCGTGTCTCCAATGGTGAGTCCTGGCATCTTCTCAAGTAGTAACGGTAACGGACGCTAACTGAAACTGCACTGCAACTCTCTGTATATTGTGGAAAGACGAAGGAGACATGTAGGTCTCGTTTGGCGCTCGAACTGTACTGAATTATTTTAGTCAGATAGGATAAATAATCGTTAGACAGTACTGATCGTATTATTTATAATATGTTTGATACAGTATCAGATAAGAAAACTTCAAGCTATTATTATTTTTTAAGAGAAAATTAATGATTATGAAAAATAAAAGAAATATTAACTTCAAACCATATAAATACTGGATTACCTTAGGATTTATGGTTTAAAGTTAAAAACTTCTGTTAAGTCTGCAAACAATTTAGATTTAATTTGATTTCTGTAGAAACCTTCCTACATAATCTGGTAAAATTAACGAGCATCAAGGATTGTGTAAACAAATGGCATCTCAACATGTTATAATTAACAAAAATGCAACGGCAATTCCTGGTTCATCTGATGCTCAGCAACCCAGACTGAAAACTAGGAAAAAAAGGGAAGTCAACTAGTTTCGGAGAAAATGGTCAAACGTGCAACCCGGATGAAACCAACGAAAACCCAATTCTTGAAACCAACCAAAACTTAAATTCGTGAAATTTTGAAAAAGAGATTAAAACCAATCAAAATCGTTGAAATCTTGAACACGAAAGAGTTCTGATTCTGCTGCCATCGCCATAGATACCGAGGAAATCATCATCGCGGGCATGACGGAGAATGCAGAACATGCTATGGAGGTTGAGGGAAATCCCTAGACGAGACAACTGCTGAAGCCGAAGGAAATTCGCGAAACCCAACGATGACCGTGTTTTGATAGCTTTTCACACGATTAATTATACCGAGGTTTTGGGTGGGATAAGGGAGATCAAATCTTCTGCATCCCAAGTGGACGTGGTCTATGTGGTTATTATATTATGCATTTTCCAACTCCAAAAGAATATATTTAATATCTTATAACAAAAAAACTAATATACTAACATAAATTTATCTACAAAACATTCTACCCTAACTCAAGTAACAAATATATGAATGTATATAATACCTATACGTGAGATATGAAACCTAATTAAAATGTAGAAAAAACATAACATACCTACAAGTAAGACACATTAATCTGTGACAGGTTGATTATAAAAAAAAAATCTGTCATATAGGTAGATAAATATAATTAACCTGTGTTATAGGTTGATTATAAAAATTAAAAATAAAATCTATAAATGGGGTTTAAAGTAGGAGGAAGAACGAGAAATAACAAAAAGATAAATAAAAAGAAATAAGCAAAGAGATAATTGGGAAGAAATTTGATTTTTATAATAAATCTTATCATTGAACAGATAACTATTGATAATTAAATATAACAAATTGGACTTATTTTAATAAACTGGACTATTCCTACTATTGGCTCAAAAAATATTAAATAATAAAGGATTTTAACGAAAATTTTACGGTAATATTTATTTTAATTAAAAATTATATTTTTACATTAAAAAATCAATCCTAATACTATTCGTTTTACTTTTATTTTGTCATTATCATTAAAACTCAAAGTTTTTAAACTCTTTTCATTAGTTTTCCTTTAAATTTATAACAACAAAATTAAGAAAATTTAAGGTAATGAATACGTGTCAGACATTGGGCCACAGAGAGACCACACTCATTTTGAGTGCAGAAGATTTGATCTTGGGATAAGGAAGGCGGTATGAGTTACACTAAACAGGTGGGGCCGGACAAATTAGTCCGAGTACTAATAATACAGAAGTGTACAAACGACTAGGTCCGTACTATTAATTATATCCAACGTGGCCTTTGGTTTGTGGATTAATAACAAAACAATCTGTTGAATTTTTATTATTTTTATTTTACAAATTCGAATCCCAGTCGTTGGGTATGTAGCTCACATGGTAGAGCGCTCGCTTTGCACGCGAGAGGTACGGGGTTCGATACCCGTATCTCCATTTATTTGCAAATTAGTCAACAATATTTTTTAATTTTCACCTTTATTTTTAATTTTAATTTTTTGGTAATTTACATTTTATTTTCGCTTTTATTGCTTTCCGTTCCCGCGCAATATCTATCACTTTCTTTACTTACTCCGCGGCTGAGCTCACTCAAAATTAGGGTTTCTGGTGTCAAGAAACCAACTATGGAGGTCGCAGCTCAAATAGCTCAGCTGCTGAACGAGACTCTCAACCCAGACTGCGCCGCCGTCCACACGGCGACGGAAGCACTTGATCGTCTCTCGCAGCTCCCCCAATTCCCTTACTATCTCCTCTCCATCTCCACCGGTAATTAAGCTTGCAACTCATGATTATATGCTAATTTTACACGATTTATGGTTTCTTAGTGGAAAATTGTGTCGATTTGTGTGTTAATTCGATACCAGGAGGTGAAGATCGAGGTCAGAAAGTCGCTGCGGCGGCGTACCTTAAAAACTTTACCAGGCGAAATGTGGACTGCGAGAATCCGAATTCGAAATCAAACGTTAGCAAGGAGTTCAAGGACCAGCTTTTGCGGGCATTGCTGCAAGCCGAACAATCGGTTGTCAAAATTTTGGTTGAAGTGGTATGCATATTTCGGAGTTCAATATCCTAATTTTTAGTACATTAGTGAAAGGTGCGAGCTTTTGATATATAATTGTTTTAATGTATTGGCTGGCAGTTCCGGATCATTGTTGTTGCCGAGTTTGTTAAGCAGAACTCGTGGCCGGAACTTGTACCTGATTTGCGATCAGCTATTCAAAATAGCAACCTTATTAGCCATGGTGCAAATTCTCAATGGACCACAGCCAATGCCCTTATGATTCTTCACGCTCTCCTTAGGCCCTTTCAGGTACTTAGTAGTGTACGGTGCATAATTAATTTGTTTGTTGCGAAACTAGTTTATGATATCTCTATCCAAATTTTACCCTTTCCTAGGATTGGTTTTTAATTTTTTAAGTTTCCTTTCATCATGTGGTTACATGTGTCCGGTTGTCTGTATATTTTGTTTCCAGTCCTCATATTGGCATGTAATTGCTTGTGCTGCAAACCTTGCTCAAATAGTATCACTAATGGGCTCAAATTGTTTCTGGCAGTATTTTTTGAATCCTAAAGTTGCCAAGGAGCCAATACCGCCACAGCTAGAGCTAATTGCGAAAGACATTCTTGTGCCCTTGTTAATTGTTTTCCATCAATTTGTCGAAAAGGTTGTTTTCTTTACACTTCATTGCTCATTTTCTTCCCTAGGTAGTCTTTTATGAGCTTTTACAATAATGGATTCTATATGATTATCAAATAGGCTTTGGGTGCTCATGGTACAACAGATGTGGAAGCAGAGAATATCCTTCTGGTTGTCAGCAAATGCATGTATTTTACTGTAAGTAACAATCTTGTTTATGATTATGGAATATTCATAAAAATGTATCATGCTCAGTCCCTTTTATCTCCCACCCTCCCCCTGCTTTTTTCAATGTTTTTGTGGCATTGCTATTTTTGTAGGTGAGGTCGCATATGCCATCTGCTTTAGTTCCTCTTCTACCTTCATTTTGTCATGATCTAATTGCCATTCTTAGTTCTTTGAGTTTTGATTCCGTGGTTACTCCACAAAATGGGTACCTGATGAGATTGAAGACTGGGAAAAGAAGTTTGCTCATTTTCTGTACTCTCATTACTCGACACCGGAAGCATTCTGATAAGTAATAACACAATGCTTGTATTAAATTTGATTAGAGTAGAGTTATTGTGGTAAATTCTTTATGTTTTGCATTCATGTATTTTTGCAGGTTGATGCCGGACATGATAAAATGCGTTCTGAACATAGTAAAATATACCAAAAATGTTGGTGTAAGTTCTGTATTAAAATTTCTTACTTATTAATCATTTCAGTCAACATTTAGAGTGGTGATGCCTGTGTTTTCCAAATTGTCTGACTGCTAAGTCTGCATCTTGAATCCAAGTTTTGACTTGCATTCTTATTCCAGCCTTCTGACTTTTATTTTTCTTATTGTAATTATTATTTTATGTTGATGTTCAGTTTGTTTATTTGTGATTCTATACATAGAATTTAAACTTTAATTCCCTGAATCTGATCATTTGCTCATTTTGTTGTCATTTTATAACTGAAAAGTAATATTATACATGCAGAGGCTTGATTTTTTATCGGAGAGGATTCTTTCATTAGCTTTTGATGTGATTTCACGTGTTCTTGAAACAGGGCCTGTAAGTTTCCTGATTTGTAAGTTTTACTGAATAAAGATCACCAAAATTCTGCCAACTTCATTCATTAGGAAGTGGAACTTTGGATGTTGCACAATTTGTTACTTATTCAATCCACTCCCCTTAATTGTTTTTTTTTTCCTTAATTGTAAATCAGGGATGGAGAATAGTTTCTCCACATTTTTCATCTCCACATTTTTCATCTCTGTTGGACTCTGCAATCTTTCAAGCATTGGTAATGAACGAAAAGGTAAATTTTATTATCAGAAAAAAATGGGAAACACATATTTTTGAAATCTGAAGTTATAAGTTGAACTAACTCTTGTTTTTCTGGCAATTTTTCAAGTAGGATATCGTAGAGTGGGATGAAGATGCAGATGAGTACATACGAAAGAATCTTCCATCTGACATTGTATGGAAAGCTTATAATGGTCGTATATGTGATTCTTTTACCTTCTCAATTACCTTTAACATCACCTCTTGTTTTTATACAGGAAGAAATTTCTGGCTGGAGGGAAGATCTATTTACGGCCAGAAAAAGTGCTATCAATTTAATTGGTGTTATGTCAGTGTTAAAGGTTGCTCTTTTGTGGTCCTTGGTGAACTATTTCTATACATGTATTCCAAAGAGCATATTTTTTTAGCTGGTGTTCTATGCCTACAGGGACCTCTAGTAGGAACTTCTACTAATATCAGCATCATCAAAACGTAAAAAGATTGAAAGGAACAAGAGAAGAAATCAACATCCTTCAGTTGGAGAACTATTGGTGCTTCCATTTCTGTCGAAGTTTCCAATTCCTTCTGATGCTAATACATCCCAAACTAGAATTCAGAACGAGTGAGCACATAAACATATCTTTGTATAAATTATCTGATATTGAATTGGTATGCCCTGTGTAGCTATATGTATATATATGTGGTGTCCAACATTTGATTATTTTCTTGTGCTGGTAATTCTTTCTTTTATCTCTTTGTTTATATAGTTCCCCTTATGCAGCTTGTTAACTGTTGAACTGTTCCTCCTACTCACCAACATTTTCAATTTTTCATGTGTAGATGCTTCTTTCATGTTGATTTGTATACTTTAATTTATTCCTGACTCTCTTACTGTGACAATCACAGTTATTTTGGTGTTTTGATGGCATATGGTGGCTTGTTAGATGTAAGGACTTTTTCTCCAGTTCCGTCATAATTTGATTTACTATGGTATATTAAGAGCCTGCAAGGGAGTATTTATAATTATTTTAATGCAATACAGTTTCTAAGAGAGCAGCAACCTGCATATGCGACAACTCTGGTTCAAACTCGGTTGCTACCATTGTATAAATTATCAGTCTTCTTACCGTACTTAGTTGCCACTGCAAACTGGGTTCTTGGAGAGCTTGCTTCCTGCCTACCTGAAGTGAGGCTGTTTCTTACCATACCAGCTCCTACTCTTGTAATTTAATTAAAATGAGAAAAGTTTATCCACACATCACTTGCTATCTGATGTTTTGTTAGCTTGATTTTATTTTATACTTCCTTGAAAACTGCATGCTTTTCTTTAGGCCCACTATTAAAAAATTTTGTCGCGTTTTCAGGAGATGAGTGCAGATGTGTATACCTCATTGCTCAAGGCATTGGTTATGCCTGATAACGGGGATATTTCTTGTTATCCTGTGCGGGTTTCTGCTGCTGCGGCAATTGTGGGACTTCTTGACGTGGGTCACAAACTCAATCTTTTAGTTGATCCCTTGTGATTTCTTCAGTGACATTATTAATCTTTCTGATCTGATGTTCTGTCTCCAGAATGACTACCCACCACCTGAGTGGCTTCCTCTCCTTCAAGTTGTGATTGGTAGGATTGGCAATAATGAGGAAGAAAGCTCAATTTTATTTCATCTTCTCAGTTCTGTGGTGGAGGCAGGACATGAAAATGTTGTAGTTCATATCCCTTACATTGTTTCAACATTGGTTGTTGGAATCTCAAAATGCATTCCCACTGATCTGGAGCCATGGCCTCAGGTATATGTAGATTTCTATTGCTAGGCTGGTAGTTTGTCTATCCTTTTGGATATCATGTTTAGCAGTTAGGGGTTGATGCACCTGCTGCTAAAAGAGAGGGAAACTGCTGTGTATATAATACAGTATATGGCTTCTCATCCAATAAGCTTTACTAAATTGAATCATTGTGTGCTTGACCAATTTGGACCCATGAAATCAGATTGCCCCAAAATTAGTACTGTTTATTCATGGAGATTTTTTCCCCTGCGATTTTTTTTTGCGTTCTGTACGCTCACTGTATATTTTGTGTTTACCTGATCCACAGTGCATGAAAATTTCTTCCACTGATCTCTAAGTAATCTCTAAATAATCACCGATTTCTTTTTGGAATGTAAATTTCTTCCAGTTTCAACTATTAGTGGAATATGACTGAAGGGAAGGGTGTTAAGACTGATGAACTGGCATTGTTTATATTAGATGGTTGAAAAGGGCTTTGAAGCATTAGCAGCAATAGATCAATCTTGGGAAAGTTTTACGGCTGAACAATCTGAGGAGAATGAATCGAGTGAAAAGTGGGTATCAAGCCGAGCTACCATTGGTAGAGCTTTCTCTTCTCTCTTGCAACAGGCTTGGCTTGCACCAGCACATCACATGGTTAGTTTTTATTTTCTAGTAAACTTTCCAGACAAAGAATGCATATACATTTATTTTTTGTGATAAACTATTTCATATTTAATATGCTATCCGAAGTTAGTGTCTTTAATTGGAGCCATTAAATACTAGGTTCTTAAAACTCCCAACTTCTTGTGCGTCTGTACTTTAGACAACAAATACCTCTGTACTCATTTTTAATCATTTTCACAATATACATATGGAATTCAGGTTGTTACATTGTGCTATTTTCTCTGTTTTTAATCAGGGACGGGAAGACGAGGTTTTGCCCCCTTCTTCTTGCTTAGATTATGCATCAACATTGCTCCGATCCATCATGCTGTCTGTTACTGAAAGTAATGCAATTCTAGAGCTTAAAGTATCAGAGTTATTATTAGTTTGGGCTGATCTGATTGCCAACTGGCATGCTTGGGAAGAATCAGAGGATATGTCAATCTTTGAGTGCATTAAGGAAGCGGTCAGTCTACACAAAAAATATGGGTTGAAGAATTTTATTGTAGGACAAATGCCATCTCCTCCAGCTCCACCTGTTCCTCAGCATTCCATAATACAAGGCATTGGTACTTTTATAAGTGAGGCTGCCTTACAATATCCATCTGCAATGTGGAAGATTTGCTCTTGTGTCCATATACTACTACATGCCCCAATTTACTCATCTGAGACAGAAGGCGTGAAGCAGTCGTTGGCAGTTGCATTTTGTCAGGCAACATATACCCGTTTCAGAGAAATTAAAAGCAAGCCTGGTCCTCTCTGGAAGCCTTTGCTGCTCGCTATATCATCATGCTATTTATGCTGTCCCGAAGTTGTAGAGGGTATATTGGAGAAGGATGGAGATGGAGGATTTCAAACCTGGATGTCTGCACTTGGATCTGTTTCCTCTAGCTCTTTCAAACCGGGGCTACCTACAGAGTCAGAGATAAAGTTGATTGGTAAGTACTTGGTCACTAAAATGGGGGAAATGAAATTGTGTTTCAGCCTCTAACAGATTGACATGATATTTTAGTTACTTTTGCTTTGCATAAATTCCTGAAACCCTATGAATTGGATAACTTGGGACATGACTAACAGTTAATGAATCTCAGTGCTGGCACTGGCAAAAGTGGTTGAACGGGTGGTGGTGGTTGGAAAGTCATCTAGTGCTTTGTTACGGGAATGCTTTACCTCTCTGATGGAAGCATCTATACGATGGAAAGAACTGCAGGAAGAAGAGGAAGCAGGTGGAGAAGAAGAGACCGAGGATGATGATGAAATTGAAGATGATGATGACGATGATGATGAGGTTTGAACTTGCAAGTTTTTTGTTTATCGTCAAGTTTCGGGATTCATCTTTTAAAAGTTCTCTACATTTTTGGACCGCCTATTAATGACAGAAGGCTATGTGCAATAAATTTAGGCTATTTTTTTCATAGGTTACTCTGGCTAATATTACATAATTTTTGTTATTATTCCCTTTATGAAAATTTACTTTTATCATCTGAAAAGTTAATGGATAATATTTGATTTGGGCTTTTTATCCTTGAATTTTCTCTCATGCATCTGATATTAGCAAACTTGCATTTTTACTTGCAGGATTCGGAGGATGATGAATATGAAGAGACTGAGGAAGAGTTTCTGAATAGGTATGCCGAAGCAGCTCTTGCTTTGGAAAACGGTACAGTTATCGAAGAGGGGGATCTAGAAGATGAAGACCAGGAAATGGATTTTGAGCAAGGTCCATGTTTTGTTATAGCTGTACAGTTTGCCATCATCATGACAGCATATGAGCTGATTACAGTTAGTTGTCTTCTTTCTCGTTGCATTCGTTTGCTGAAATTTTGATTTTTGCAGGCTGCTTAGAGGAAATTGATCTGAAAAGAGTTATATCGTCACTTCTGGAGAGATACCATCCTGTAGTCATACAAGGACAGGCATTTCCACCGGAGCTGATTTCGAGTTTCCTAGAAGTTTTCCCTCAATGTAGGTCGTTCTTCCAGCAATAAGTTTGGTAAATTTTATTGACCCTTGTTTTCCCTGAAAATGACTGATAATTTTTCTTTGCGTCGTAAACTCAGGTAAATTTATTGGGAAGTCATTTGTAAAATGTGATCTAAAGTGTTTGTGGTAAAAGACATTCACGGTTTTGAACTTCGATCTGGTGTATGTGGTCTACCTATTATTTTGTGGGGAGCTTCGGTTGCTTATAACGGGGGCCAATGAGGAAATCCATATTTGAGTTTCTTGGGCTCTTCTTCTGCCCTGTCATCAATCGGTGCCTAGAAACTCAATTTATTAGAACCGGAACACGGGCTCATTAGGCAGTGCATCAACGGAAAACATTTATGTTCATAAACGCTTTTGTCACATATTCTAGTGCTTTTACAAAAGCATTGGAACGAGTTTCATAAGGCACTAGCCTCTTGCCAGATCATTTTTTGACCAACAACCACATCACCGTGTATTGCAAATGCGGGTCGGTTTTATCCGTACGCTGCCTGTTTGATAAAATGCCCGGCCAAGTCCTTGACGGCTCAGATTGATGCTATAGACTTAAATTCAATCTGGCATCTTGGAATGCAATGATGTTCGGATGCCCAATGTGTAATGACTGTCACAAGGCATTCGACCTTAAGAGGATAATGCACATCAAATGTGGAGCCATAGGACGTGCACACATTTGTTAACAATGCGTTATTATTAAATTTAAACGTTAATGACTACATTTTTTTGACCAATGACAACTAAGGTAATGTCGGTTTATATTTATATAGGAGTGTACTATTCACACTCTTTGTTAAGTTATGTCAATTGCTTTTTTTCAATTTATCTGATCTGACATTCAAAAGTTAAAAAAGTATATGTGGATGTCACACCTCTTTATTTATTTATACTTTGCTTTTTCTTGTTGGTATAAAACACTATTACTTTAGAGAATGGTGTAAGTTAACTAGTTTTCGTGATGTTCCAATTATGGCCTTATGTATATTTAAACTAAATAAAAATTAATAGTAACAAGCCTAAACAAACCAAAAACCTAATCTGGTAAAATCGCCGACCAAAAACAACGAGCATTGCTAATTAAATCACAGCCGTCTGATTCAGGGTTCACCGCTGATTCTGGACTGTAGGTGCAGCTGATATTTATCCCCGTAACCCTACAATAAAATTTCACGCCCTCTTACCTCCCAACTCATATAATTAGCGCTTTTTCCCGGAAAATTTCTCTTTCGGTTTTCGGGAAGTTCTACAAGTCCTCCGAAGTCCGACCCACAGAGGACGAGAAGCAAACCCCAAACATTTTCCCGGAATTTCTCTTTTGTTTTTCTCGCGTCGCTTTCTGATTGATCATTACGCAAACGAAATTGAAGTTTTTCGAAGCTGTTGTTCAATATATTCGAGGAGGTACGTGATTTTTTTAGGGTTTACGAATTGGGAATTATCTGCTTGATTTGTCCTCGTTTTTTAATTTTGGGTATTTAAAATTTTGCTTAGTTTTAATATGCTTGGTCGTTGAACGTTTAGGATGATGTTTTGTTAATTTCAAATTTTGTTATGATGCTAGAAATTTAGGTTATGAGAAGTGAGAAACTGTTGCTAAAGTAAGAACAGAAATTTGAAGACTAAATTAGATTAATTTAGTTTCAGAAGACTAAGTAATTATATTTTTATTTGCTGGAGAGAGTGAACTGTGGGATGATCTGAGGTTGTTAACAGTTATCTTTTACAATTTATTAGTCCATGGGATATGCAAGACGATTGAATCTATTTGATTTAGAGTTTATAATGTCAATGCACTGATGGAATGGTTATATCTGATTGTAGATAAGTGTTAGGCATGGCAACAGAGGAGCCGGCTGGTCCACGGTATGCGCCAGATGATCCTACACTTCCAAATCCGTGGAAGGGTTTGATTGATGGTAGCACAGGTTTGTTATACTACTGGAATCCTGAAACTAACGTTACCCAGTATGAAAAACCGGCTTCTTTGCCTCCGCCCTTGCCAGCAGGCCCGCCTCCTGCTACTGCCACGCCACAGCTGGCTGCAATTCCTGTTGCTCATTCAGTGCAACCGAAGGGAGTGATGCCTCAGGATGGGCAGCAGATAATGCAAGCTCCACAACAGCACGGGTCGCAAGTGAGCCAGTTTTCTCAACAGCATGGACATCTAATGGCACAACAGATGAATCTGACATCATATGCTCAACAGCAGGGTTCACAAATGGCTCAACCTGGACATCAACAGAGTTCACAATTGGGACAGCCCATGCAACAGCATGGGCAAATGATGCAGCATCCGGGTCAGCAAATGCCCCAGGCACAAGTGCATCAAGGGCAGCAAATGCCTCAACAACTGGGACAACACACACCACAGGGTCATGGGTCACAAGGGCAGCAAAGGCTTCAACAACTGGGACAACACACACCACAGAGTCATGGGTCACAAATGCATCCGTTTGCACATCAGCAGATGCATTATAGGCCTTATCAGCAAAGCATTCCTCCCCAAGGGCAACAGAGTTCACAACCGCAAACTCTGCATAATGCACAAGCGCAACCACTGGCAAATCAACAAGAATATAAAGCTGCATTCCCCCAGAGGGAGGAAGATGATTTTCAACAAAGAAATCAAATTGGTGTTTCTCCATCCCGGTTTCAACAAGCGGGAGCCTCATCTGTGCAGAATCTTCCTACTGGGACCAATCTAGTACAAATGCCACAGAGGTCTGTTCATCAAGGCCCAACTCAACAATTTGGCGGCCCTTTGGGAAACATGCAACATCCTTCCTCTTTTGGTCACTTGCAGCAACCAGGGGCTGATTTGGCTCACCATCAACATAGTTCTAGGTTCCAAAGTCAAATGGACCCAGCAATGATACACGGTCAGCAGTCAAATGGGCCTCCTGCTGGATTAAGAATGGGTCATGAAAATAATTTCCACGGTCAAGGTGGAAATGACTATTACTTCAATAGTAACAATGAAGGGACGACAGGTCCTCAGCAGCCCAAGCTTGCATCTATTCCGATTGCAAAAAGCCAGCAGGTATCTCTTAATTTATATCACTGTCATGTTCTGTTAGGTTTCCATGTAAGTTATTTAACTTTAAATCCATTCTTCAAAAGTTAACTGATTTCTCATTACATCATGTCATTTTTTTTTCAGGAGATGAGTGGTGGCCCTCCATTTCAAAATGCTACACCTGGTCATTCCAATGCCCTGAATACCATGCCTGGTCATTCCATGCATAACGTGTACAGTCATGCAACAGGTGCTCCACCATTCCCAAATAACTCTTTGGTGAAGCCCCCTTATGTCAGACCTACAAGTCTCACTAGTCTCTCACCTGTTGAAGTTTATCGTCAACAACATGAAGTTACTGCATCGGTCTGTATTTCTGTTTGCTTCTGATCTATTTGTGGGAATCTAGGAATGCTCGTAAATTTTAGTTTATACAGCACAGAAAATGGTTTTGAGGAGATGGGTACGATATGATATTGGTTTTGATAAGAGATGGTGCTCTATTGTTTATAGTTATTATAGACACAATAGTATGTTAAACTAATGTTAATTCTTTATGACCTCAATTTTTGCATTTAATTGCATAGGGTGACAATGTACCTGCACCATTTATGACATTTGAAGACACTGGTTTTCCTCCAGAGATATTGAGAGAGGTAAGTTACATTCCCCTAGACTTGTTCTTTCTCTGAATATAAAATATCCAATATGAGATCCATGCCATTCCATTTTTGTATTAGTATTTGTCTTCTACTTTTGAACTCATGAGTTCTCACTTATCGCAGGTGCGATATTTGCTCCGGAGGAGGAGCATATGTCGTACGCTGCACTGCTATTGGCACACTTACACATGCAACAACTATTCTGATTTTTGGAGGCTGCAAAATGAACTGTTGGAGCCTTTCTTGTGCATCTTCTAAAAGGGTGGTTGGCCCTTCATCCAAATCACACCTTATGTGACTGGGATTTCTTGCTTAATGGCTCCACCTGTTATGTCTTTATGCCCTCTTTTGTTGCCTCAAGTTGCTTGTGTAAGCAACCATATACCCATGGGCTTTTTTGTCATCTTACTCTTCTATCAATACAAAATTTTATTGATATTTGTTTGGTTGTAGTCTATCTTTATGCGAGACATTCTAAAACTTTTTTCTGATCACTTAGACCTATGTTATTGGTTCAGATTCATGCTGCTGGCTTCGCATCTCCCACGCCAATTCAGGCACAAACATGGCCAATTGCTCTTCAAAGTAGGGATATAGTTGCAATTGCAAAAACTGGTTCTGGAAAAACTTTGGGCTATTTGATGCCTGCATTCATTCTTCTTAGACAACGCCATAATAATTCTCAGAATGGCCCAACAGTCCTGGTTTTGGCCCCAACACGGGAGCTTGCAACACAGATACAAGATGAGGTTTTGAAATTTGGGCGAGCTTCTAGGGTAGTCTTGCACGGTGGGTGCTCATTGCTTGACTTTATTGATACGATAGCTTCATTTTTTCAGTTCATTTTGGTTTGTATGTTTTATTCACTGTGATTGAACGTCATGATTCCAGTGCTTGTATGGTGGAGCTCCGAAGGGCCCTCAGCTAAAAGAGTTAGATCGTGGAGCAGACATAGTTGTGGCAACTCCTGGTCGTCTTAATGACATACTGGAAATGAAGAAAATTGATTTTCGGCAAGTTTCTCTACTTGTACTTGATGAAGCAGATCGAATGCTTGACATGGGTTTTGAACCTCAAATCCATAAAATCGTGGATCAAATACCCCCGCACAGACAAACTCTTATGTACACAGCAACATGGCCCAAAGAAGTAAGAAAAATAGCAAGTGATCTTCTTGTTAATCCTGTACAAGTGAATATTGGCAGCGTTAATGAGCTTGCTGCAAACAAGGCTATCACACAGGTAATTCTTTCTTTCTTTTTTCCTTTTTTTTTTTTTTTTTTTTTTTTTGTGTTTTGACTAGTGCACGGACTCTGGGATAATGTAACTAGTTAAAATTCCAATTAGAAACTTTTAGAAAGGTCTATCACTTTGTGTATTGCACAGTCTAGGATAATGATAAAAAGTATAAATTTAAAGCTAGTCTCATAGACCTTGCATCTGAGGAACTTTGTCTTATATGGTTAATATATG